CTCCACTGTGCAGGCGCGGCGGACCTTGCTGGCTTCACGACGGTTTCTGTGACGAAGCATTGCGTTGCTCTGCTTTTCTTAGTGTTTTGTTTTATTTCCAAGGCGCCCGCTTTGACCTCGAGCGGCTGCACCGGTTTCTGCGGCAAAGCATCTGATATGGCGCGTCGCAGCCAATGTAGGGGCCGTTTTTCGCCGTTACTGGTTTTAATACGAAAGCATTAACTGTCTCATGGAGCGAGCCGATGTCATCAGCTTTCAAACCATGCAAAACAGCACCTTGCACATTAATGGCCCATGACATGAATTTCGGGTTGGGATAAATCGTTTTAGATTGGGATTTTACTAATAGCACGTCGTTCAGTGGGCCAAAAGAAAAAGGTAGAAAGTCAAAAGCATGACTTTCAGTACGAAAATTTGATAACACAGCGGACTATTTCGTGCCTCCTCCCCTTCGTAAGCTCTCTGTCTTTTCACTGTGATACATCCGCGGTCCCAAAAGCGCGTCATCAGGTCCAAACGCACGTCACACGACACCGGACCTCACTTAGTCCCTTCACCCCTAAGCTGACATTGTGGTGGAAGCTACGCGCTTGCCGGATCAATCAGCCGCCTCCCTTTCATCACCTGCCATCATTCTCTGCGCGTGGGTATGCGCGAAGGAGCGTGATCACGTGGCAAGTGTGGCTGGCCCAACGAGCACGTAGCTTCCACAGCACTGTCAGCTTCGGCGTGAACGGGTTGGGGAAAGCAACTTTTGTCTGAATTTTGAGCGACGGGCTAATATTCTAAAGGGGCAATGGCTCTGTCCGGGTACACAAACCAGATTCCGAGCAAGTTAGAGACATCAGGGTATGGCAAGCCTTTGCTAGGACGACCCCATGATGCAGATCGGCTCGCGATGACTAAAGTAACTGTATATGCCCCGTTCAGTTACTCTAGCGAGGATTCGCTAACCGCTTCCGCTGGTGAGGCTAACGTTGCTTCCGGGAGGGACGTCCGCTGCTTTTTGGCGTTTAGTTTAGGTATCTCCGTCTCCTTGAGGCTTAAATTTGCCAGAGAATAGCACAGAGCAGAATATCTTGACGACGGGCAACACACTGGTATGTGCCAGCTACCGTGAATATTTCAAAAGTTAGTCAATAGATGTAAGTTAACTCATTAGCCAATTATCGCTCGACACTCGTAACATGACCACCACCGAGGACATTAAGATTATTGCGTAGTAAATAACTTCTTTATTTCAAGTATCCTTTTACGACAAACTATTAAGTCCTCGGTGAAACATCCTGTCAGAAAGGAGGGCATAAAAATAAGTGACGTGACGAGAATTAAAGTATATTGTCGTAATGAGCTTCTACGAGGTAATGTGGGTCAAGTAACCCTTAACACTTCATGTTCTTTATAGTGCAACAAATTTGGAGCAGCGAAAAGCACCGTAAGGAGCACAAGTCTATATTTCATTGCCATTTCTTGTACTGCTGATACTACGCCCATCAAACTAAACGATGATGACTTCTTGCTTTTCCACTGCTAAGCAATCACAGATTAGATTCTATTGTACCTAACCCGACACAGTTAGTGTGAAAAAGCAATCCTTGTTCCTTTTTTTTCTTTTTTTCTAAAAATCGAAATGCTGTCGTCAAAACTGCTGGGGCACTAACGTGAGCAGTAAATTTGAAGACCTTTCGAAAATGCAAAAAGGCGCTGATGTCGTGTTCACGCTAACAGTGTTGGGCAGTGTAGAGAAGACATTTTAATTCCCCTGAACACTCTGTTAGCTGCTAAAATGTACTTTAAAACGTTACTTATGATGATAAGAATGTTACAAAAGCCATCCTTTGAGTTTAAGCCCCACTCTAGCAGTCACTTTTGAACCACTTGCCGATTAATGAAAAACAGCAAGACGATGTGTACGGTGATTTTAGGTCCAAGATATAAGGCCATATTATAATACGTCAAACCCGTTTATAACGAAAAGCAGGAAACGCTACGATCAGTTCGATATAGCAAGTAGTTCCGATATAGCAAAAACATTTACAACGAACTTCCAAGATGAGTTCGTCGTAAGGCGAGAGCCTTCTCTTTCTTTCTCATCTCTTCACTTCCGCCTTGTAACAACGCGCTAAAAAGTTTTTCTTTTTTTGCATGCGTGCAGTTTTTTTGTTTTTTTTGCTTATCTTTCCTTCTGAATCGCTTCTCTTTGTGAGCAAACGCTTTGAGATAAAAAAATTTTTCCCTTGCGTGCAGAGTGTATTTTTTAGCTTTCTCCCCTTTTGAATCGCTTCTCTTCGCTAAATTTTGTTCGCAACTTGAGCTTTTGGGGTTTTCTTTCGTTCCTACTTCTTTCTTCTTTTTAGGGGAAAGGGACAGGCTAGAAGACGATTGTTTGCCCGTTTTGGGAAGCCTTCCGGGAGGGGAAAAGTTTGATATAGCCAATATGTTGTTCGCTATAAAACATACTTTTTACATGCATTTTTATTTAAATTTTCCGTGAGTTCGATATCGACAATAATTCGCTGTACGGGGGTTTGTTCTAAACGGGTTTCACTGTAGGATAACTTTGAGTACCAAAACTGAATGTTTTGTTCAAGTTAAGAAAGTTAGAATTGTGCAACTTTTAATTCACTTAAGGAACCAAGTTTTCGTAACTTCATTCTGCACATCAAACTAAGCATGAAGGTAGGTAAAGATGGTAGGAATAACTCGAGAACCTGTAGGAAAACTAGGATTGGCAGCCAATGTGTCATCAGAGACCTGATATCTGCAAGACCTGAAGATGCCAAATCTTCAAACAAAACAATATTCTGCCAGTTTGAGGTTTCAAGCAGGTTTCGTTGAAGTTATACAGGTCAACAGCATTTTCTATGTAGTAGACAGTTTCATCACCATAGAAATCTGCAAGTGATAAATATTGTCCTTAATAGCAATCCAGTTGAACTCATTATGAATATTCCAAAGCTTCCATTCATCCACTGCTAAAAAGCTCTTATTTTTTTATTACTGTGCTAACTAAAAATGAAAAGCCTACATAAAGGGAGTAAAAATAAGATGAGAAAAAATACGAGGTATGATCAAGAAGTTCCGAGACCTACTTCGTTGCGTAAAAAGAGAGGGCAGCACAGTGATGCGCGCGCAGCAGTCGAAGGCAGAGACCCTCCCTGCATCATTGGAACTGCGCTACACGAGTTTGTTTGACCACATGTACGAGCATACTGGCGATCTCTCCATAAACTGCAAATCAAAGCGAGAGCGAACATAAATTTTATGTCAAACTCTGCAAATCTAAGACAGAGACCTCTGAAATGATTTAGAAGGCTTATGCCCAAAAGCAGTGAGGTGTGCGAGGTGTTTTGGGTGGCACTCGCACCTCAAAAATGGCAAAATGTCACTGAAGTCAAGGAGCAATCGGATAAGGCCACCCTACCACTCTTCGCCTTCCAGCAATGTCCTACCGTCCCTGATGCGTGAGTGCCACTCAAAACGCCTCGCACACCTCACCGCCTCTTGACATAAACCTTTTAAACCATATCAGAGGTCCCCGTTTTAGATTTGCTGAGTTTTACGTAAAATTGATGTTAGCTTTCGCCTTGGTTCGCAGTCTATTGAGAAATCGCCATCATGCTCCTGCATGTAGTCAAACAAACTCGTGTAGCGCAGTTCTAAAAGTCCACAGAGCGACGCCCTTTGGCATAACGACACAGGAAGGTCTCTGCCTTCGACTGCCGCGCGCGTACCACTCTGTTGCCCTCTCCTTTTTACGCTACAAAATCAGCCCCGGAACTTTTTGATCATGCGTCGTATAGAGCTCTTCAGCTATTCCCAATTGAGAAAATTTAGAAACCCCTTGGGTGGGCCCCAATTAAATTTCAAATGTGAAAAACAAAATCTCAACAAATGACAGCAGCAGCTAGTCAGAATACTGCCATTCAAGATATATTCTTGCATACTAGCTGCAGTTCTATGTACGGTTGAAAAATTTTACATCGAGGTTATGTTCTCTTATCAAACTCCACCAAGCAGTTTTGTCCACGTTACTCAAACATTACTCTCACTTAAAAAGTATACATTACTTAATTACTCGAGGAAAAGTAATTGACGATTACTTGAAAAAGTAACCTTCTTCGATTACTTCAGATTTTGAAAGCAACAGAGTTTTCTGCCAGTTTGAAAACAGGTCTTTTGTAGTGTCCATTATTGGATTAGAATCATCGAATGATGGACTATTTATCTCCTTAATCTCCAAATTTTGGTAAATCATGCATCTGTCAGAGATTTGGTTCAAGGATTCCTTGCTAAGAAACTTGTATGAACAAAGGGCACCAATAGAAACGGGAGGAGAAAAAAATAATGGTTAGAAGGAATTTTTGCACTTCAAAAAGTAAACAATTTACCGCTGCAATTACTTTTTAATGAATGTAATCAGATGATTACAAAATTATTCCAAAAAGTGATTGACTACAAGTAATTTGATTACTTGTGGTGAGTACCGTACAAGTCTGCCACCAAGTTACATTAAGTTGGAATGTCCAAGTCGGCATGTGGCAGTGCTAAGGCATATTGAGATGCCAAATCGTGATTCCACTCCAATGGGGCCACTTCTCTGCAGTGCACTACTGCATGGGGAGAAGCCCACTTTACGTAGCAAACTATAACCCACGCAACCAGACTTCAAACAATAAGAGCTATTGTAAAATTTTCGGGTACTGTCAGCCTTCAATATAGAAAGTTTTGAAAGTTTAAACGGGCCGATCGTAACAACCCAAAGGTGTAGTGGGGGCAGACTTCTTAGTTTCAGCATTGAGAAAGCAAAACGACTATCTTCTGGTGCAATGGTGACGCAGATTCCTCACGTTTTGGTGACACATATAAAGAACAGGGTAAGCACTTTAGCGGAAGTGCCACAGCAATCACCTCACTCCATTTACGTCCAAGTATGATGCTAGTGTCGAGTTTCAACCTGTGGCAGTTTGCTAAAAAAAATGCACGAACTAGCACAAGGATGCAGTGCGACACTTTATTTCCTTTCCTTTCTAATAAAATAGGCTCATAATGCATATAATATCTATTAAGTGGGCAGGCGTCAGATGCCTCTAAAGGGGTCTTGAACTTTCAAAGACGAAAAAATAAAACTTTAAATAGAATTACGACCCTGTTGCTTAAGCACAATCCACCGGAACACAGGAGAATGGAACAGACTCACGCCGCAACGTCCCGTCGCCAGAAACGAATCGTAGGTACTCGAAAAGTGGAAACAAACAGTCCGAACAAAACTAAACAGATGAAGATTGAAATTCGGCATTAGTCGTCTCCGGACAACGTCTCCTAGCGTAATTTCACTCCGTTAATCGGCCTTTGGAGATATGTTGTTCAGTTCTGGCTGGAAGAACTCGTTGACCATCAGCTTCACAATCTCCTTAAGCTCGGCATCCATGGCCTTCCATTCCCTGGAACAGAGATGCGGGCATGAGCACTTGGCAGAAACCCTGTAGTCGCAGTCACGCCGCTTATACATCGTACAAAAGCTGTAAACATAACGGCAGAATTATTTGCGGGCGCACCTCGAGGACGTTTGATGCACGTTCGCTTCCTACACACTTCGCACACGTCTGCAAACAGTATGAAGTATTAGTGGCGTGACCGTGGCTTAAAAGCTGGTTTTCACGTTGCTTTACGAAGGCTTATGACAGGCAAATACTACACTCGGCGTCGTCTAGGAATTTGTGCCAAATGGTGAAGCTTAGCGTACCTTCCGCAGCGTTTCAACCCTGTCAAAGCTAGTTGCGCGAGTGCATTCAAGTGAGACACGAGACAAAGCCGCATGCGCCCTTACAGCAATGTGGGGCTGCAGCACCGTGGAAGCCACGCTAGTCTTGGCAGTATAGCGCGAGACGGTTAATGCCAAGTATAGGGAATGTGCCGGCACACTGCCGCCATCTATCAATAGCCCTGGAAACGCCTCCGATTTGCATATAACTAGACCGAGGGTTTTAAAGTATCTGCAAGATCAAATGTACGCATTACAGTGCAATCCACTTATAACGATAATGAAAAACCCGAACATTCAATCGTTTTAACTGATTATCGTTGCATCTGGACTAGAATCTGATCATTTCTAGTGTAAAAATAAATCGTTATAAGCAGCGCATCATTATAAATGGATTGCACTGTACCTATGAGAAATGGATGCTTAAAACATTGTCCAAAATTATTTCGAACTCACAGCAAAAAAATCCAGGGTTGCCGGATACACCTACGTGTTCTCTCGTAAGCAGCTACTATCTTTGTTTGCATTTCAGATATGGTGTACATCTGGTTCCAAGTTTCTAGCCTTTTGCACATGTACACAAACAGTCAACTGCTACTCTCGCATCTCAGGCAGCATCTCTTGTACCCGCCACTAGGATACATCCCAGGGCAAATTGCTCGCACAAAAAAAGGTTATGGTCTCGTGCTTGCATCATCATCTAAAATGTAACGAAATATCGTACACCGTTGAGCAAACCACTTTTTTTTGTCAGTCAAGTCTGGTTCAGACCGTTGCATTGCTCCCATTCGGAGCGACCGAAATGACAGTAACGACAAAGTCACCGGGAGAACTGCGCACCGCACACAGTGTGCCAAGCAATGCAAAAAGTAGCTTCGTGAAGCAATCACGAGTCAAGGTTGTCCCGGTGTTTTGGTTGCTGGTCCTTTTAGTTGCTCTGGATGTAGCCGACACAAATAAGTGAACCAGCCTCACAATTACAGTGTTGTCATTGCAAAATACTTTTTTTACAAAATAATAGTTTTTGCGAGCAGTTATTAAACGGAAACCTTTGACGTGGCGGTTGTATGCAGCCAACCTTTCAAAGAACACTGTTTGTGGAAAGCAGAAACTGCCACTTGTTAGCGCACCGGCCTTTCGTAATTTACAGTTCCCAAGCTGGCATCCCAGGAGTTTTCCAGAATTGCCTCGTTGGTTTTCCCACCTCCCAAATTTCCTTAACTATCCCCGATCCTAAGTAAAATGTTTTTCCAGGTAAAGCACTATCCATACCTTAACAGATCCAAGTTTTATATCGATGTGCAACTACAGTAATCCTTCACTATAACAAAGTCAATGGGATAGCAAAAATATTCGATATAAGCAATAATTCAATAAAAGCGATAAAGCCAAAAAAACAGTGCCAGCAGCTTGATTGCGGACAGGAACACGGCGGAACACTCCGACAGTACATTTAATCAAATAAACCTTGGTTAGGAACATCTTGCAGCAAGTTTACAGAGTGAAAAAATAATTAGGTGGAGTTTGCTGATGATTTCATCCGGGAATCAGTTCTCCTCGAACTGCTCCAAGCATCACAAAACACTGTCACCGCCGCTGCACTCCACTTTGTTTCAAAACAGCTGATTCGCGTCTCCACATTCAACAGTGCTTCCCGAGGTGCCTCTCCGACGTCGCTTTGTGTTGACCCTGGCCGCAAGCAAGGTCTACGATTGCAGCATTTGTGGCAGGAGCAACAATGGGAACGTCCGCACTGACAAGCGCAAACGAATCAAAGTTATCCTTGGTGGCTTTGCCAACATGTTTTCACATACTACTGTAGATGTCGTTGCAGCTTTGCAAACCGAGCGCAAGCTCGGCAAACGTGCTGACGAAAGAAAATCCGACGTGCGCGAAGCAGTTGGCAATATCTCCGCTTCGGGTCGCGAAGGCGCTTTCTCCTGCATGAGAAACTTTCCGAACCTGCCCAATATGCCTTGCTTGTTCTGCAAAATGGTGGCCAGTGTCAAACAGCTGATGCCGGAATGTTGAATTCTTTGGCAATTTCTAACTTGAGCCGGCCACTTTTCTCAACCTCAAGCGACTTTCGTTAAACACTCCCAATCTCACATACGACGAGACGTGCGTGTGCATTTTGTATGCCGCAGGCGCGCACGTCGAGGTCTCCTGAAGGGATGGTTTCCTCCAAGCTCAATCGCTCCTTTCACCCGATTCCAACAAAAGTCTAGCAATGTCGGCCGCGGGCGCCTTGAACAGCTTCGGAACGTTCACGCTGGTCCCGCTGCTCCCTGCCAGCGTCCCGGCGTCGGCACATCGGCATCAAAAGCGGTGCTTTGCCAGCTCTGCGCGCTCTGCCCTCCGTCACCCATTTACTCCGTTTTCCCAGTTTGCTGTTTGCTTCGGTGGAGAAGGGGAGGGAACGCAAGGTTCTCCGTGTGCGCGTGTAGGCTTTTGTGCTTTCGGCACCGCGGCCCTCGTAATAAGCGTGGTCAACCGCTGATCCACTTCGAATAATCCGGTTAAAATGCTTGCATTTTGATCGGGGCCAGGCTGAACTTTAATACAAACAACTTCATTATAACGAGGGATTACTGTACGAGCCACATACAATATGTGCATTATTGTTTTACGAGGTCTGTGTGCTTTTGCACTGCTTTATTGCGTCAGTGCCGCGACCAGGAGAGGTTTCTGTAAATTGAAAAGTACTTCTGATTAAAGCACCATATTTTATGACGTACAGTCGAACCCAGATACATCGAATTCAAGGGGAACTGTAAGATAGTTTGATATATCAATAATTTGATATACAAAAATATGTTAAATTAAGCTCAAGTTGAAATTTCTGGTGTCTCTGCTAATACCGAAGGTCGCGACAAATGGTAGCTTACCAAATAAAGCATCTAAGAGCTGCTAAATACAGTAGAACGTAGTTGGCGGGGACAGCAAACACCGCCATGCTTACATGTGCGCTTGGCCGGGACTTCCACACCCCCCCCCAGCACAAACAAAATACGAAAATATATAAAAAAAAGAAAACAAAAACAAAAAAGTGAGACACACATTAAAAAAAAATTAAGTTTAGCAAGCAGCAAAAAAGAAAGTGCAAAAATTCAGGCTGCAAAAAAACAAAAGGCAAAAATAAAAAATAAAAAACGAGCAAAGCAATAACAACAAAAGAAAAAGGTAAACAAAGATGAGGTGTTCAAAATGTGATTGCAGAACGGTTGTTGTCAACCCACTCGACCTGCCCAAGACTTTGTTTTGCTTATTTTATTTTGGGGCTAGGGAGTCACGTAGCATCAGCAGTGTTCGAGAAAAGGGCGCATGCTACCGTTCTAACTGCGGGCACTCCCTGCTGCTCTCCCTGCACGCGTGCCCACATGCCCTTCCCCTTGCTTTTGCCATCCTCCATTTTTTTTTTTTTTTTTTTTCGGATTATTATTTTTTTTTTTTTTTACAACAGCTCCCCTTTTGCTGCATATCTTCCTATCTTTTGGCATGTATGCTGTCTTGGCGGTTTGCCAGCCAAGCAATGCAAGCGATGTGCTCGCCACCCGCGCAATAGGATCGCGGGAAAAACAACGGGCAGCCAGACTTCGTTCGCTATACTGAGTGTCCCCGCCATGGGAGTTCAATACAAAATGACAACGTCCCTATACTATTACATGTGATTTTCAAAGGGATGTTTGTTTGATATAAACAATAATTCAAAGTACCCGAGTGCGATATAACCGGGCTCGACTGTATAAGTTGCGGCTTTTTGTCCATATTTTTGTCTGTGTGTCTTGTGCAACGGTACAACTTATACGCATTTTTCTCTACAATTATAAACTTTAGCTGCACAAATTTACAGCAGTTTTATTTCTTGCTTGACTTGGTGAGACTATTGAAACTGGCTCTGCCTGGAGTATATATCGCGATCGCAATATGCATATGCGTGCTATCGATGTGGTCCTGCTACGCCCACAGTACAAGCATATAAGTGTGACTTATCAAAAACTGGCCTATATACCAACTTTTTGTGAAAATGTTTGTTTATAGGAGGTTGCAAATTACAGGGAGTACTCACTGGTGGCCATAGCTGTTCGTGCAACTGCTGAGCGTGCGCTGATGGTGAGCTTCCACAGTTCTTTTGCAACGTGCATTCCACACCATAAAGAGCCGGTCTTAGCAACCTATTAACGTGTGCTTGTTCTAAGCATGTGCTCTAAAGAGCACTCGCAAATATAGCATCCAGTGAATACTCCTTATACGACAATGCTAGTACTTAGAGATCGGAAAATGTGGTACAGTCAAACCCGACTATATCGAACCTGTTTACATCGAATTATTCCTTATATCGAACAATATTCGTGCACAGTAGTGTTCTAGTGGTAATATATAGTAAAAACTATGGTTGCATTGAACAAAAATAGCAGCCGCTACCGATATATCGAACTGCCAAGAGCGCCGTTTTGCTCTGCAAGCTGGCTTTCCCCAATGCGAGTGAGCGGTCGCACTGGGGGGAAGCCAGCTTGCAGAGCACGCTGGCTTTTTTTCTTTTTCCGGGCGGCCATGTCGATTGTTTGGAAAGGAAAGGGTGCTCCGTGATCGCTCTCCCCGCTTTGTCCGCAAAAGGGAGTATAATTTTTCTTCTGGGCGGTTGACGCGGCCGCCCGGAATAAAAAAAAAAGCCAGCCGCCTGCCTTAGGGGAGAGCCAACTTGCAGAGCAAAACGGCGTTCTGCAGGAGAAGGTGCTCCTGCTCGAAGGTGCTCCGTGCTATCGACATAGTTCGGCGCTGACATGGGGATATAGAAGGCAGCGGCCTCAGCATTTTGTAGTCCGTCGATACCGTTGAAAAATATTGTTATCGCGGATGCAATGAAGAAAAGCAGCGGAAGATGCAAGACTACCTATTTCATTGTGTAATACACCAGCAGAAAGTGGATTTTTGAGAGTCAAATTCATTAAAACTTTTATATCAAATTACCCACTATATCAAACTGGTAGACTTTTTTTGCGAGTTCGATATAAACGGGTTTGACTGTAATAGGAACAACGAAAAACTGTAGGGCACTCACGATCGTGGGACGTTCGGCTTGGTGCACAGCTCACTGTAATACTTTATCTTGGGCTCCGTGCCGCTGGTTCTAATGGTGATGACGCAGCCATTGTCGAAGTAGTATGTGATCATCTCGCTAGAGCTACTGGTGGGCAGCACCTAGAATGGCATTGGAAAACCTTGTCTGCTCTAACTTCTGTCTCCAGATACTCAACATACAACATGTGCTCCAACCAATGAAAGCACATTTCCAAAAAAGAAAGCGCTACTGTAAAGTTCCGAGAGAATGTCCGCCCCGAGAGATCACCCATCAGAAGATTTGGACTAAATACCTGTAATATAAAAATTCCAAAACATCACCCACCCCCGATTCCCATCGGACGACACGCGATGTCCAACAGGAATTGCATCAATCAAGCAATTTTGCTGAACCGGCACGTCTGGCAAGCGGGTTCATAGCGGGTTCATAGCGGGTTTTTGCATTTTTGTCCGCGATCTGCACACGCGCGATATCGACTCCCGTTACACGCGAGCTGTTCCCCCGTGTATGCTGCACCGTGAAATGCGAATCTGCTGTATCTGCAACTTGAGGCATCCGTTACCGTGACACAAATTGTAGAGGATTCCTGTGTTTTGTTCGCGATCTGTGCAGGCGATATCAATTCCATGTGAGCTGGTCCCACGTGTATACCTTCTGCATCGTAAAATACGATTCTGCTGCGTTCATGATCTGCAGTATTTGTTCCCATAACATACGAGTTTGTAGTGGATTCCCACGTTTTAGTCCGCGATCTGCACAGGCGTTACCGGTTCCCGTGACAGGCAAGATTGCAGTGGGTTCCCACGTGTTTATTGCACCCTAAAACTTGAATCTGCTGCATCTGCAATTTGTGGTATTCGTTCGCGTGGGATGCGAGTTTTCAGCAGGTTTCTGCGGGTCCTTCACACCATGAAAGGCGAATCTCCAGCGCCTGCAACCTACGGTATCCTCTCCCGCAACACAGGAGTTTGTAGCGAATTCCTGCATGTTTATTGCATCGTAAAACGTGAATTTGCGGTGTACGCAATCTGCCGTGTCAGTTCCCGCATCACACCGTTTGTAGCCTGTGCCAGGCTGTTCGTCATTAATTTTTGATAAAGTTTTGTTGTGGCATCCCCAAAAATAGCCCATCCCATGATTTTCACCATTTACCTCTTCATTTTGGGTGGGCGTTCTTTCGGAACTTTACGGTAGTTCTAAACATGCTTACGAATGAAATCGCAGGCACACGCACAATGCGGGGAGCTTGGCAGCTTGGCCTTCCCGCGGCACAGCCTTATAATGCAGCAAAGCCAATCGCCGCTGAACCACCACTGCCACCAGCCAAATGACACAAGCTGTTGACCCAATTTTTTCTTTTTCTTCCTTTATTTGTGTTATGGATACTTGGTCCACAGAGGGGGCCAAGGCAAATGGCGCAAGTGGCTTACAAGGCCTTAGCCCCCTCTTGGTATGCAGCAGTCATCATACAGATAAAAGTCTCAAAGGAAAAAGAACAAATACAAAAATACACCATACAGAAATTTCAAATAGCTCCAATAGCCAAATCCAATCACACATAATACCAACCTAAATGATTCATAACCAAAATCAATAACTTAGACACACTAAAAACAAAATTTTATACATTTTCACGGAATGGTTTAATAGTCTAAACACTAGAGTTATGTGCAATTTTATACTAGGGTCAATGGCCAAACATTTGTTGAATACAAGTTGCTAAAATGAGAAAGAAAAATTAGAATACAATAACACTTTTTTCACAATAACAGTGAATGAAAACAATAACAGTGTCTGTATAAGAAGGTGAAGAGGTGCTAACAAAATGTGAGAGCACTGGAAAGATTTGTTATACAATCTCGTTTAAATTCGGATGTCGGTACATCAAAAACTAACTTGACTTTATCATGATTCAAAATTGTTGCTGTCTGGAAAGCTAAAGTTTGTCCTCCATAACTCATTCTTATTGTAAGTAATAATGTAACAGTGGCACTGCATGCACATTTGACTGTGTGCCCCCCCGCTCCTCTCGCTTACTGTCCAGATTTCAAATTCTCCTGTTGGAAAACAATGCTCTTGTAGCATCTTTTTCCCTTTTTTCATTGCAAATATTCAATGCTCAACTAAGATCATAGTAAAGAGCACATTGACTGATGCATGTTGAAAGCACGCCCAAACCTCTCGCTAAAATTACCCATTTTAAAAATGCATCCCATAGCTAGCCGTATGATGGAGCGGTGCACAGCTTTAGGGAGTTCTGTCGGGACATTTAGGGCAGCATAAATTGAGAGGAAAACTGTAAACATCTTTAACTTTGTATGTAGAGAGCTGAAATGTCTGTCTAACATATATTTTAGTGAGTTTTACATCAAAAATTTTTAAATTGTAGCTCTGCTCTTGTGCAGTGAGAATAGCAGCGCGGATGATTGGTTAGTGCAAGAGTCATTTTATATTCTCCTCTCAAACAATTCAGTCTTCACACTAAAGACGTCTTTCATGTTTTTCTAATTTTTTCACAAGAATGAGCATGCACTACAGTCACCGACCGATTTTTCAAACTCGGAGGGGACCCCTAATTGTCCGAAAAATCAAGTGGTCCAAAAAATCAATTTCAGCTATATTTTCAAATTTTCACGCATATTCTGCTGCGTATTGGCCACTTTCTACTTGCTTGATGTCAAGTTTAAGTTCTTGTGCAATTTCTGCTTTATATTGTTCACTTTTCACTTGTTTGCTTATCTGTTTGATCCCGGTGCTACGCTTTGTCGGCATGTTCATTGACACAAACAGCGAAGTTGAAGTTGCCGCCATTTGGCACTACTATTTGGAGACAACGTTTAGTCCACCCAGCTCGCTTCAATACTAAGCCTACCGGCAAAAAAAACCTTCGCGCTCAAAGACCACAAGAAAGGCAGACGGCTGCTCTTCTCGCTGTCGCACACGAAAGAACGGACCACGAGAACAACTGGAAGAACCATAAGAATAAGCAGACGGCAGCCATGCTGGCTATAGCGGAACCGTAAAACCCGGCTATAGACTCAACGCAGCTTGTTTATTGCGTAGGACATGGTATCGAGGCTACAGGGCAAAATCAAAACAACCAAAATGACGGCAACTAAGCTCGCAGTGCTATCGCGACAGCTGTTTTGTGGCTGTAAACTGAGGAAATCATGCAAATTATGTCTCAAATATCGAGCAATAAGCTTTATGACATCCAAAATTTCGGTCAGTGTTGTACATTATCTCTATGGGGTGAGTGACGGTTCAGCAAAAACGTCGCAATAATCGAACATGTCCGAAAAGTCGGTCGGCGACTGTATGTGCCAAACAATCCTCAGAATGAACATCATTGTATGCAAGGTCTATATGCCTTTGCACCACCTTGCTGCATCAGTGCAAAGACAGGAAAAGATTCCTCGGCTATTAATGAGCAAAGACAGCAAAAGAGCAAAGATTCCTCAAGGTCAGAACATTTGGAACCCCTGGCCTAGTTGAAGTGCATCAATTCCCTGATGCGCCCGATACATTCGGCTGAGTTGTATTCTTCTCTAATCACTTCAAATAGTGCTTTGTCATGCTTAATACAATTCCGAGGCTCACACTTATCTTGGTCCCAGGTCTTTAATTAGTAAAACACACACACACAGACTGAAAATAAGAATTGAATTTAGTACTCACAGCCTTTTTGTCTGGCTGCGTGTCATCGTAGCCGGTTGTAAGGTCCCTGACGTTTTTGATCTTGTAGGATCCCAGCCGAAGGTGGTACTGCCAGTGCGAGATGAGAAAAAATAAACGTTAATATGCACCAGGGTAAACTGCAATCTTAATATAACAAAAAAAAGCTCCCTCACAATAGTGTAATAAGAGTAACTTTTTTTTACTTTTACAAAACAAAGACAAGGGAAAGAAGCTGCTTATAATGAGCTAGACTGGTCCCAAGCCCCCAAAAATGCGGCAGCAGTGGACCACATTTTGAAATGCAGGCATGCATTTAACAGATTACCACCCCCTCCCCTCCCCCTCCACATTTAGGGCAGCATAAATTGAGGGGCAAGCAGTAAAACTAACCGAAAACATTTTTTAAAATTTGTATGTAGAGAGCTCCAATGTTTGTCATACATTATTTATTAAAAAGTTAAAACACCAACCAAGCCCTTCTATAGGGAACCTACGTTTCAAGGCCAATTCGGCCTCTTCTTCAGGGGCGACTAGGGCTATCGCCGTTGAGGAGCAGTGTCCTTTCCATTTTCTCCTACGGTGGATACCTGGTCTTCTTCATCTTCTACAGCTGTAGAAGATGAAGAAGACTAGGTACCCACCGTAAAAGAAAATAAAAGTATGCTGCTCAACGGCAACAGCCGTAGTCGTCCCTGAAGAGGAGGCCAAATTGGCCTCGAAACGTAGGTTCCCTATAGAAGGGCTTCGTTGGTGTTTGAACTTTTTAATAATTAATTACTCCCAGCCAGACAGTTCACTGTCAAATGTTTACTTTTAAGTTTGTCAAACATGTATTTTAGTGAATTTTACCATGCAAAATTTTAAATTGTAGCTCCGCTCTTGTGAAGTGAGAGTACCAACACGGATGATTGAGTTGTCCAAGAGTCATTCTTCTCTCGAGCAACTCAGTCTTGACACTTAAAACGTAATGAATGTTTTTCTAATTTTTAACAAGAATGAAGCTTCCCATAACTTCGAAATTTCACAATGTAAGTTCTACCACCAAAATACACCTTTGATAAAAATTTCAGCTTGTTATGCGAAGATACCTATTATTCCTGTACGTTAAAAAAAAATAAAAAAACACACTCTACACATTGAAAAAAAAAAAGGAACAAAAAAAACAAACGAAACAAGTTGTTGTTGGAATTGGACAAAAGGGTTGACAAACATACTGTTGCGGATAGAAAAGGCTTGACGAGTGTAAATTGAAAATAAAGGTTCAATCGGCAAACTTGTGCCAGAAACAAAAGAAAGAAAGAGCGTCGATAAAACAGCAGTGAACGTTGCAGCATCGACGGGACACTTGAGTAGCGCACGAGTCCAGCCTCGAATGTTCAGCAAGGTCATGTTGGCCTTCTTATGTTTTACACTTGGGGTAAGAGTAAACTCTAATCTTCTTGAAGCACAAAGAACCCTTCCTTCTTGGTCATGCACATGGCAACATCATGTAACATGCTCACTGATATATTGTTAATTTCAATATTTTTGATGCTAAGCTGGTTCAGAATGATCGGGAGAGCGTATTAATGTGCAACGGATACAATTTGTTCCGATAAATGGTACTTCATATTAACAGGGGTTATATGAAGAAAATTGCTTTCCTCAAGTCGTTTGCATCAGAGGAATGTTTGTGCAAAATATTATTACCCTAATACCCCCAGAGATAGTACACTTCAAATTTGGAGCGAATTCAATGAAAATAAGGTATGGGTTTACCTTTCAGAGTGAAACTGAAAAAGTAAAAAAAAAAAAAACATAATACCTACTGTAGCCAGACCTCGAATGCAATGGCTTAACAAAAACTTTCAGCCCTTCCACTCTAGTCAAGAAGGAAGAGCAGCCGAGCTGTACTATGTGCCGCTGTTGCTCATAGATGGCGGTAGCTGTCCAGAAGGTTGTGTCGAGAATTATTTGTCCTTAGACACTAAACTGGGCAAATTAGGCCTTTGCAGCTCCACAGTAAACATGAGATACGACGGTTATTAACATCGCACAAACGCTGCCCTACCGTATCCTTGCCCCGCTGGGTCCGTAGACGCTGGAACATCTTGCAGATCGTCGGCTGGTGATGGCAGATGTAGTACGAGTTGTTGCAGACATGGTATCCGTACCTGTTCATCGAGGTGTGGCATAAGTCCCAGTGTTGTCAAGGTGCAAGGAGCACAAGAAAAAACAATCTGCTCCGTGTTAAGGGGAGACTACAAAGGCCGGAAAAACTGGTTGACCCAGCCGTCGCACGAAACATATGTCCGCCCAAAATTAGGATATACATCCGCCCTCTATCTGGTCTTGTCCGCAAACCTACCTAAAGAACCAGATTTAATCTCCTTAAAATCAAGCCGCCCGTTTTATTTCGTTATCATACTCATGTTTCAACAGCGTATCATTAACAAAACAAAACTATTATATTTCTTTGCTGGAAGTGCGACATACAACTTTGCTCATAACCTTAGTTCACAGATTATGTAACGGTTCCACTTGAACAGAGGTACATCTTGCACCACTATATCCGTTAATGAAGAATCACGTAACTTTAACACGAGGAGCTTCAAAAATATTTTTCTGTCAACATTAGCATTCAATAACTCTTCCTTGCCACGCACCATCAAACTCTGGAACAATCTTCCTGATGCCGTTGTCTCTATTTCAAATCCAGGAAATTTCCACTCAAAATGAGCCACCAGTTTCATTACATAACTAACTACCGTGCATTCATTAGACAAAATGGTTTAGGTTGTATTACGAGATATTTGAGAGTTAAATTTATTATGCGTCTATGCATTACATTTGCTCTTATGAAATGCCTGAATTCTATGATTATTACGTATACATTTTTATGTCAATATGTTCTGCAGCATGTGCTCATAAAGTTTTGGTTCATTTCTCTTTTGTTAATTTTTTTTTTACCAAGCTGTATGGCACATATAATGCCGAAAGGCCTTTGAGGTATTTTGAATAAACAAATAAATAAATGCCCAGCGATGAGGCAGTAGCAAAGTCCCGTAAATAATGCGTTCATTCGAAAGAGTTCCAGGTAAATTCTTTTGTGCCTAAATTTGGTTTGTTTTTCTCACACAGCTTAGAGGCGCTCGTCCAAAGCATTATACAGTGCAATTTACTTATAACAATATAATGCTTATAATGATCACTTTACAGAGTTTCTAGACAAGAAACGACGACTTTGTATTCCAGATACAACGATAATCAGTTATAACGATTGCATTTTCGGGTTTTCTCATTATCGTTATAAGTGGATTGCACTGTAGTCACTAACAGAATGACAACAATTGGGCGTCTCTTTCAAACGCCTCCAGCATGCGCTCATTGCCTTTCGTCGTGCTTTGGCTGAGCATGCACACTTGAGGCGTGCGAGATGCCCAAGTGTTATCGAAGGTAGGACGCTTGCGCCGGAGGTGAGACGACTGAAGCTCCTCTCTACCTTAATCATCCCATCAGTAAATATAGTAAATTAACACAACAATAAACATTTTTCGGCCTGCAAGAAGCGAAAGCAAGAGTCCCACCTGTCGTAGACGGCGCAGAGCTGGTCGAAGAGAGTGAGGTTCTGCGTCTCCAGGTAGGCCACCAGCTGTGCCACAAACATGGCCGCACTGATACCGTCTTTGTCCAGGACAGTCGTTCCGCACATGTAGCCTGCAAAATTGAACGCACCACCCCTTCGAAAGGCTGCACCGACGGCAAGTCGCGGGGCTCGTCGACAACGAGAATCCGGGATGCAACAAGATTGTACAAGTGTTCGAAATGAAAGTTCTCCAACCGAAATCGCTCGCAGAAAGTAACAGAGGAGGGAGGCTTGTTATAATGCATCTCCACATCGCAACAGCAATGTGTTAAAGAATTATAACTCTAATTACTGGCGAGACCTGCAGCAGGACAGGCGCCGGCCAGACACCCCTTCGTTGCAGAGCCACCGCCAAGATCGTGGCACGACAGTTTCACGACGTCATCGGGTGGAAATCGAGGGACCACATTTGAGGATGCGGTAAACGCACCAGTCGTTAATGCATTCTAGGCAACATGGTGCAAGAAAAACCATATTGAGACAAAGTGTAGCAAATGACTAGAGCAACCGGATGTCGTTCAGGTTTTAGAAGCCACAAAAAGACTGTGCCATCCTCAAGAACGAGTCTCTCAGTACATACGGTAAGTCTTATACATTTAGTAACATCGATGGGCCCCATATTTAAAGGTGCATCAAAACATAGCCACAGTAAAACCTTGCAAATACATTTTCCGCGAGCCTGCAACACAAAGAGGTGTGATTTAGAAAAATGTAACAACTGACACACATTTGGGCTCCAATAGATAAGACAAGTAGCAGCTCTCTCGCAGTAATTTGTTCTGCGCTGACTTTCCCGGCCGTGGAGGACCGTCGTATACACGAGTGGATTTTTATTTTTAAAACTGTTACAGTGAAACCTGTTTAGAACGAACCCACGTACAGCGAATTATTGTCGATATCGAACCGACGGAAAATTTAAATAAAAATGCATGTAAAAAGTATGCTGTATAACGAACAACATACTGGCTATATCGAACGTTTCCCCCCTGCAAGGCTTCCAAAAACGCAGAGACATTCGTCTTCTAGCCTGTTCTCCCCCCCCCCCCCCCCCCCCTTCCCAAAAAAAAAACAAGTAGGAAAGAAAGAAAATTTCAAAAGCTCAAGTTGCGAACAAAATTTAGCGAAGAGGAGCGATTTAGAAGGGGAGAAAGCTAAAAAATACTCTGCACAGGGGAAAGAAAGAAAGAAAAAAACTTTTCAGTGCGTTGTTACGAGGCAGAAGTGAAGATATGAGAGAGAAAGAGAAGCTCTCGCCTCACAACGAACTCATCGTGGAAGTTTGTTGTAAATGTTTTTTGCTATATCGAACTTCTTGCTATATCGAACTGAGGATAGCGTTTCCTGCTGTTCGTTATAAACGGGTTTGACTGTACTACTTTAAATAATTTCCGAGACCGTCATCCCAAACAGAAAAGGAGCATTGAACTGTGTGCTTACCGATAGCTTCTTCAAAAGCTAGCAGCACAGTCTTGCCCTCTTTGATCAGGTTGTGTGCTTTGTTGCACATCCATTTGAAGCCTGTCAGAGTTTCCTGCACAAGACGGAAGTCAGCAGTGAAAAGTTTCGCCTTTCACTGTGAAAGTTTCACGATGTAGGTTTTAGAAAACAGGTTTCAAAAAGAAATACTGGAAGCAATGAAGGTGGCAAAGTCCCAGACGACAATGCTTAAAAAACAAATAAGAAAAAATACTAAAAACGTGCAAGTTTCAACAATTACCTTCCAGTTTCAAAAAGTAGGTTTAGTCAAGCAGGTGGGCTTTAGCGAGAGTTCCACAATGTCAGCAGCCCAAAATAAAATCACAAAAATCAGGCACATCACAAGAGAAACACTGGCAACTATCACTCATGCACCAAGAGAAAGTTGGGGGGGGAGGGGGAGAGAATTTTAATAAAATAGCAACATACCACAAAGTTGAAGCCTTCTTTTGCAGCAATGGCACTGAGAATTTTGGAAGACACGGTGCTGGAAATCATGTAAGCATTCTTGGCTGAAAAAAAAAAAAAAAAAGAAACATTTAAGCTAGACTACAATGATGCAACATGACCACTATGCAAAACCAAACCAAAAATAGCAATCATTCGGAGTTACTATCACTAAGACACAAAAATAGGCTTCAACAGCTATAGCCTGGGTTCTCGGACCTGGTTCCTGAGAAGACCTTCATGGACTTCTGAGCGCACAAAGCTTCTTGGCCGTCCCTGCCCCTATAAGTTGAGTGTTTTCCCAGTTTAAGCACTACTTTGGAGAATCCTTTGATGCACAACTACGAGCCAAACACCCTCTAATATGTTCGTTATTGGTTGCAGGCTCTGTAGGCCCCTGAACTGTTTTACAGCATCAATGTGTAGATTATAAAGGACCATAGAGCTCCTTTAAAATCTCAGATGCTGCTTAAGGCTAACCTACAGAATTGTCTTCTGCCAGGCAGAAAGCCGGTTACCAGTTTCCTCCCCTCCATTTCCTCTCGCACTCTTCTGTCCTCCTCTACCAACAGGAGAGGGTCCCTGAGCCACTCACCACAAAAAGGAGAAGGGTCTCCCTCTTTTTTGAATGGAGAGGAGGAAATGAGGGAGCTTGCTTCTTTCTGGTTGCTTGTCTGCCTTCAAAGCTAGAAACAATATCGCCCTGCAGGCACTGGTTGGGACTGCCCATTGCATGTGGTTCTACGAGACTCAATTTCTTCTATCCCGGTGTTTATGCGTCTTCAAAGGGAAAACTTTAATTGTTCTGCTATTCATCTTTTGCTGCCTACTTTTTGGGTGCATTTGAAAACGTGGTAGTGGTTTGGCACGTCGCCGAGTAATCGACGCATGGTCTTCGAACTCAACAACACAGTAAGCGCCGATTTTGTGAAATTCATGCTGCCGGCGCCGCCAGGGGTGCCGACTTTTGAGAAGTATGTAGGGCACACAGGCTACTGAAGTAAAATGCGCGACACAAACAAAAGGCAAGCTCTTCTTTTTGTAGTAGATAATTTGTTTCACTTTATGCGCAAACGAAATCAAAGCTATGAGCACGTTGCCCCAAATGATGCTTGCACTGCACGAGCACGCATGCTTGGCAAGGGATGCCTGCCGAAAAGTCGGTGCTCAGTCTTGCTGGTACACTCGCGCTTAAACTGAAACAGTACAGAATCGTTGCGGTTTCACAATATTTCTGTCATTTGTAATTACAGAGTGTAAAAGAATATCAGAAATAAAAGACATTTCATCTAACCGTGCACAGCCAAAAAATTGTGTTATGTGACATTTATGACTACCGTAGTTACTAGATTCGTAACGCCACCCTTTTTTTCCCATCCACTAAAACGGTACAGCTTTTCATAAGAAACGACACTTTATCTAATGAAATACAAAAATAAATAATACAAAGAACTTAAAAACAAACAAGGAGATACTTATAGTTGGCTCGCCACATCCCTTTAGACAGTCCACTGCGTTGCCACTGTCACTCACTTTCGCTGCAACTCGACAAAGAAGGAGAGTCCTCTGTGCCGCCGCTCCAGCTGCTGCCCGCGCTACTTCGTGTATCCCGCAGAATACCATCATCAAATCCATCATGTGGTTCGTGACACAGCATTTCTCGTAAGAATGCACAACAACATCCAGGGGCAAATCCAAGGGCGGGGGCGACGGGGGCGGCCACCCTTCCCCCAAACCAAGTCGACCCCCCCCCTCCCTCCTACTCGGAGGGTAATTCACATGGGTGGACCTCCCAGTGCACGAGAAAGAATGGGAATATAGTATCTTTGCAAATTTTCCGGCCCCCCTCCCCATCCCCCCTTCCCCCCCCCCCCCCAAAACGGAGTTCTGGATCTGCCCCCGACAACATCAGCTCAGATCCTCTTCTAAGTGCCTGCGATCCTTGTTGCAACTGTTAAGGGAGAAGCTTTTTGCAGCCTTCCCGTCAACGACTTCTTCCAATCGTGGTTCCGGATAATTCTTTGTATAGTTTCCGCAAGTTGTTTTTAAAGGGCTTATTTACGGAGACGTCGAAGGGGAGCAGCAGTGAGGCCGTCCGGCCTGGTACGACCACAGAGTCGCAGTTGTTCTTTTCTAGTTCCTCCTTTGTCTCCGGGCAAGGTGTCCGCAGAATGCGTCAAGCACAAGCGTCGACTTTGTGCCTTTGGGTCTCGCAGGCAATGCTCCTGAGCGTCTCTGCCAAGATCCCTGAATCTAATCGAGCATCAGTTCTCTAATTATCCATCCCTTCTCCTGGGCTCGAACGGCGATGCCCTAGGGAAAGGTTTCGTCTTTTGGCATGTTTTTTCATATTAGGATGATGTAAGGTGGCAGCTTTCGGCCGTCAGCACGATGGTCACCCGCTGCTTTTCATAGCAGGTAGTACAAAGTCTCACTTCCCGAGCACCAACTTCATTCATTGCCAATGTTCTTGGCATATTGGTGTACACGAGAGTCTCGTCGGCACTCCCAGTTAGATCAAGTTCACAGAAGGTCTCTCGGGGCATCTTCGTGACATACCGCTGAAAATTTACGAGCTTCTCTTCAAAATCGACCGGCAGCTTTTGGCATATCGTGGTTCTGCATCCAAGAGAAAATCCGTTTCTCTTCATTGTTCTTTCCACCCATCCTTGGCTTGCGTGGAACGCCGTGCGGGGGATCTACAATCTTAACGTTATCTCCATTGCTTTCTGCCGGATTGAGACTGCCGCGACAGCAAAGCCGCCTCATCTCTCATTGCGGACAAACTCTCAAACCCTTTTCCCAAGTTCAGGGTGTCGGCCCTTGCGTGGTCCTGTAAACTTCTCGCGGGTTGCGGCACCCTCGAAGGCCTGTGTCCATTGTTTCCGCCAACGGACCACGCCAGCCCTGTCAATGTCGAAGTGCTCGGCGACGCTGTGGTTGCTGTTTGCCTCCACAAACTCGACCCCAGTTTGTTTAAACTTCAGCTTGTATGAAATCCGCTTCGCACTCATGTTGACTCTCTCAAGTCTCTCGAACTAGGCAGACGAAAGAGAGATGGCTCTCACGCAAAACTCCAAGCCTAATCGCAGTTGGCAAATGCTGCGCACCAATACGGCTAGGCTAGGCAATGTACCCGCGCTAGCACTGTTTGGACATCACATGCCACCATCTGTAAACTGGTGTTTAAACCGAGCACCAGCAATGTGAGTGATGCACACTGCAGCACGCCGGCACTCGGAACTGACAGAGCACCAGTAGCACGGACGATCGCGCTTGTCTCCATCTATATTTCTCTTGCGTACAAAGGAAATGCTTACATTCACGTGCAATCTTTTTTTTTTTTTTTTGTATGTCTGTTTTGAAGACGGGGGGGGGGGGGGGGGGGGTGCTTAGAATCGTGAAAATACGGTACATACTAGTTTACGGCGATAGCAGTACTATACCCTTTTTAAAAGCATGAGCCACCTAACAACTGCTTAGCCAATTATCAAAATCCGCCATTGTTTGAGCATGAATTCTGAGAACCTAGTGAACACAAGGGCTGCGCCAGCACCCGGCATGAACTCTTCTCAGCTCGCAACGAGGACAAGCACCGCGTTGGCACTCGGCAAGCGCCCGGATCCGTCGTAAGCTCCGTGCCCAAGAAATGGTGGCCGCCAGTGTTACTCGATGGGGTATTGAAAACAGTCTGTTATGGGGACTTCCCAGCCGCTTTCGCCGTGTCAATGTTGCACCGGGCAAAAAACTCTATTTCACGTGCACTTGCACATGTAAGTGCACATTCAAGCCCACGACGCCAGGCGAAGTGCACACACTCGGCTCTTGCTAGGTGGCAGAGTCTTCCGATTCTTCTACAGTTGGCGGGAGACGCCGGTACACGTTTTTCACCGTAGAGCTTGATCTGCATGTGCTGTCGGATGTAAAGCAATGCACCGCTCGTAACGGTACCTGTCTTTATCTAGTCTTGGGCAGGGACTCGTACATGAAGTGTGTTCCCTTTGATACATACTTCGGTGGCCTCGAGGCTGTGACGTGTGTGATCGTGTGAATGAAGGATTTTCCCTTTATTACATGCTTCGGTGACCTCGAGGCTGAGTCGTGTGTGATCAAGTGATTGAAGGGTTGATGCACATAAAAGTGTGCGTTACTACGTACAATAACAGCCATCACTCACCGTCGTTTCTACGCAGACTGTGGCAAAAAGCTCTGCATCTTTAGGCGTTGAACAATACACAACAGAAATTTAGAAGCAAAAGACAGCAGCTTTTCTAGACCTTCTGACCAAACTTTCGCAGTATTGGCTAGTACCAAGTGTTGGAGAGAAAAAAGAACCATGTTTTTCTCACCACAAAAATAGACTACCAACAAACATGGTTGAAGTTGTGCACAAGAAGACAGAAACAAGAGAGAGAAGCATGTAGATGACAGACAAGCGCGCTCGTCTGTCGTCTATACGCGTTTCTCTTTGTTCCAGCCTTTTGTGCCAACTCTAATTGTGTTCAATCAGTACCGACTTGCCCAACTGACCACCTCACTATAGACTACCTATGCACCGCCAAATATTTAATCTTTGCCCAAATGTAGAGCTAGCAGTTAGGACCAGATGCGAACGTTTCCACAGTAGTCGTTATCTGATACAGTCGAATCTCGTTAATTCGAACTCGAGGGGGACCGAAAATTTGTTTGAATAAAGCAAAGTTTGAATTACCGGGAGTTTTCTCCCATAGAGACACATAGGACGGGACCTGCATGTTCTTTTGAATTATCCAGAAGTTTGAATTAAGTGGGTTTGAATTAACGAGATTTGACTGTACAAAAGTTATCAGCGTTTCAGGCTACTCACCTGGCACATCGGGATTCTTCTCTCGAAAGCAGCGCCAAAGCCACCACCCAAGCAGGCTGCCTATCTCATTGCCCGTGAAGACCTTCCACTCGCCACTGTGACATAAAGAACAAAAGAAATAACAAAGTTGGCTTCATTGATGTATTTCACATAAGGGCCTTCTCACAAAAACATAAAAATTAAAAAAAAAAATTTAAAAAAATTTGGGAGGGGGGGGGATTTAAAGTAACGAAGAGAACAGCATTCACCGTGGTTTGAGAACTCGGAAGAGAAAAATGGAAACAGAAAGGAACAGCACAATATAAAGTCTCAGACACTGCTAAGATTATACACCAGAAAACAGCAAAAAATAATACAGGGTGCTCACAAATTCTTTTTTTTAGAAGTTTTTTTTTTATTTGAAGAATAAACTATGCATAGCCAAATGCTCAGTTTCCACCCAAATTTTATTGCTAGCGGTCAAAAAGAACAACTTTTGAACCAGATAATGATAAGCCTTGAAACTTCTGGTCCGGACCGTAGCCCTCCACTTGGTTGGAGAGCGTTTGACAATGCAGAGTTTGTTTCTGCAATGAAAACAACACGGCAAATATTTTTTTGAGACGCCCTGTAAATGTTCAACAAGAAAAAAAAAATGACAGCATCTCCACGTGGTGAATGATGTTGATTGGGGCAAAGCTCTGATGGTGCTGATGATACTGATTTTGTTCAGAGGTAGTACTGATGGTGCTGTTTTTTTTTTTTATTGCTCATAGGTAGTGCTGAGTTCCGGGTTCCGTTGGTATGGAATGTGTAACATGGAACATGGCTATATATGCATTTGAGCATTTGACCACAGCGCCCTCTCGTCTATAAACGTTGAGCCAATGCATGCAAAGTTTAACGTGATTATATACACATTTGACCGCAGCGCCTTTTCCTGTATAGACGTTGAGCGGCTACATGCAACGTTTCATCCATGACATCCCCAGCTCTTGAGTTACAGTCGCCGACCGATTATTCGGACTTCGCTGGAATCGAAAAAAATGTCCGAATAATAGAGCAGTCCGAAAAATCAGCAGATTGAAAAACTTGCCTTTATTACTTCCAAGTGGGCTTAAAAAAGCCGTAAATAGTGCCTTGTTTCAGGTTCCGCCTGCGTGCCTTGTTTTAGGTTACGCCTCCGTTTCCGTTCGGCAACTTTCTGTTAGCTTGACAATCTCTGCCTTCTTTTCTAGCGTTATGGTCGAGTACTTTCTGCGCTTCTTAACTACAGATCGCGGCGGCAGAACAACATATGGGGCCATGACGTTCAAGCCAGCGTTTTCCGAACCAGATCAGAGGCGCAAATCCACGAGCGCAAAATGGCGACTGGCGACGCGAAGGAACGAAAAACAAAGCAAAATGATAATAATGATGATGATGATGACGTGCGGCTAAATGGGAAAAAAGGGCTAGCATAGCGTCACCTAGCGGTAGGACTCAGGAGTGCTCAAGTAGCGCTGCCAAACCAAGCCAATCCATCTGCAGCCAACATAGAATTCAAAATGGCCGCTTCTCGATGGTGTTTTCCGCTGATGGCTTGCAACGATTTTGTCCGAATAATCAAACTTTCGGACTTCAAGCTGTCCGAAACATTGGTCGTAAATATACACTATTTCTATGGGGTAAGTCACGGTTCCGCCTTTAGGTCCGAAATATCGAACAAGTCCGAAATATCAGAGTCCGAAAAAACGGTCAGCGACTGTACTACCAGATCTCAGAGCCCTCTACTCGTCCCGCAGTCGTGGCTGAGTGGTTAAGGTGATGGACTAGAAATCCATTAGGGTCTCCCCACAGCGGTTCGAATCCTGTCGACTGCGCAAACATTTTTTCTTTTTTTAAGAAAACAGATGAGATGGCAATCGATATGAGCACGGACGCCAGACAAGGCTAGACCCTAAGGAGCTTCGCCCCTAAAAAAAAAAGATGCCTTAGCAGTGATTGCTGTGCAAACATGCTAAACCCTTCTAAGGTAGAAGACGCCACAAAGATGGGAGACAAGGACTCAACAAGACCACACCCACCCTACAAATCAAAATTAAAATAGTGGATAGCCTGACAGATCACCACTCGCTTTTAGAAATATATAAAAAATGAAAGACACTTACAATTCTCTGTAATGTGAAATTAGAGTGCAGCTCTTGAGGAGGAGGAGGGGAGGGTACGCCCCCCTTCCCCTCCGTACCCTCCCCTCCTCCTCTTCAAGAGCTGCACTCTAATTTCGGTCAAAACCACCACTCGCTTCGAACTCAATATCCACTATTTGCACGTGCCTATAATATTATTATCAATTAACCGAGGCCTCACGTCGACTGCTGCTCAGCAACGGCCAGACGGTCCGCATCAGGGTCGTTGGCCAGGATGACTCGACTGCCCACATTGGCAGCAGTCATGAAGGACAGGTCCTGCAGGACGAGAGGCAGAACGGCTGTTAAAAACGCCGATCGTACACCTAATGTCATCAAGGGCTGGATATAGATCCCTCCATTAATTTCCTCCTGCAAGCTGCCATCTTTCTTCACTGGGCTGCGAGCTGCGTTCCGAGCACGTGAAATAGCATTCCTCCAAGAAGTGTCGCACACCATTTGTGCGTGAAGGCGCATATTTGGCACGGGTGACAAGCAATAGCTGCATACATAGCGAACGTAATGCCTGCAACGCTCTTCCCCTCGCGGGTCTACAGCGTCCAAAAACATGGTCCCTCGACCTCCACCCGACGACACCATAGAAGTGTCATGATGATTGAAACCTGATACCATGGTGGGAGAAACGGAAACTCGTGAAGGAGAAAGAAAAATGGACAGACGTCTTAATGCCGTTGTCACCAGCCACACTCCTGGCAGTGGCCACAGCAGTGGTGCTAAATGTAGCGGATGCCCGTTTAGGTGCGGGTCGCTCTTCGGCTTGTCCATTTGCGGAAAATTCGATAGCAAGGCGTTGGGACACCGCGAAGAGCGTGACGTCTGCTTTTGGTGGGACTTCTAGCACTGCCGGCGGGGTCGCAATTTTCGACACGACACGCCGGCGTCTGCGACGTCAGTCGTTGTCACTTCAGGGCCACTTTTGATGTACGGGTGGTATGGGATGTTAAACACACTGGTCAAAGACGTGTTCCAGACACCGTAATAGCGACACAACGAAAGGTTCTGAATGACCACGTGAAGAACAACTTTGCTCGGGGGCAACAGTTACGATCCCGTTGCACATAGTAGTAGTTTGAGATAGTAGTTAATCCATCGTGTACAAGAAAAGAGTGCAGAATGAAAGCAAGAATGAAGGTAGACCTGCCCTGTTTCTGCCGTTTTTCGTCCTTGCGTTTATTTGATGCTGTTTTCTCATACACAACTGCACATTATACCGAAAAAAACAACACGAAAATGTCGCAAACAACCACACAAAGCGTGCTGCTATTGATGGCGGTAGCTGCTACATTGTAGAAAAGCATGTTGAAGGAGCTTTCCCTTCAGCCAGCGTGCCGTAAAATGTTTGAAATGGGTTTTTTGCTTTAGGTGGAACTGATGTAGGAGACATGTGTGAGGAGATGTGTGCTTTGGTGGAACGATTGTGCGAGATTTTGCGTGTGTCGGAGAAGGAAGCAGAGATGTGCTCATTTTCGGCTGGAACACTCTTTCAGAACGGGGGCACCCGTGACCCCACCCCTCCGGCAGCTGCCATTGCAGCTGCCGGAGGGGTGTGGGGGTGACCCCACCCCTCTGGCAGCTGCCATTGCAGCTGCCGGAGGGGTGTGGGGGTGGGGGGAGCGTTGCTAGGGTGTATGTGGATGTAGCAGGAACGAAAAAAAGGCACATAGCGCTCTCCCTGTGATCACATGGTTTCTTCGGAACAGCAGCGGCCTACAGGGGGAAGGGGGGGGGGAGGGAGCAAGAGAGAGCTTTGCAGTGTGTGAGGAACGATGGGGAGAGGGAGAGCAGTACTTCTGCAGTAGACTGGTGTTTTACGTTCGTACACAAGCACTTTTTGCCAGGAAAAAGCCCTAATAGCTACCGCCTTAAAGAATTGACGGACAATCACACAACATATGCATATGGACAGCGTCTGCTGGTGCTACATTTCGATGATACTGCGTCATGACTGACTCCAAAATTCTAGCGATGTTGCGTTGCGCGGTGCCTCAAGTAACCTACAACCAATCACATGCAGAACAGCTAGCACCAAACACATTCTCGTGGACGTGCCACAAAAATCACTTGGCAGCACCGGCACGTCCTCTTCGCTCGGTAACACTCTCTTCTATGTGCAGCTTCATGTTTGTGCACAGCATGATCTTCATGCCGAATGCATTCCATCCTAACACCCAGGGTAAAACTTTCGACATCTACGCTTGGACGAAATTCTTTCTCACGAGTGCAATTATGCCGTCAAGCAGCCGCTGCTCGCTTCGACGTACTCTTTGGCTGCCCTCACGCGCAAAGGCTTAGAGCGCCGAGGGAATAGACAACCGAAGGTGAGAAAGAGCAGATGGCGAGGAGCGCTATCGCATGACCCCCAGCAAAAATCGCAATAGGCCAAACGCTCTACACCTCAACCTTGACTCTTATCGGCGAAAGGGCGAGGGTATCACTGCTGTACTCACCCTCTCCCGGCTCCAAAGCCACCTGCAATAAACGCGCACATGCTCCCTTCGTTTTCGGCAACACGACACTTGCTCACCACAAGCCCAGTACAGCGGACACTATAAAAGTAAGTACTACTATGAAAATTAAAAACTGCCTCTTGCCAATCTGCCATTCAAAAATATTTTGTACGACTGATGTAAAGGGAAAAGCAAAGATTGCAATTTTTTGAGGAAAGCAAAAACGGTAGATTTCACAGCAATTGGGCAGGGTGGCAACAAGGTGTCGAGTTGTTAGTGCCAAAAATCCATAATCGCATGAGAAAACATTTAGTATGTGGCAACGCACGATACATTCATCATCGAGGAATCCTAGATGCATGTCATCAAAGTCACGGGGCACCGTCGTAGACGTGACATAAAATGTGAAGGCGAAAAAACCTAGATTCTTGTAAAGACAAAAAGCATGCACCTAGGTTTGGGTGGGACCAGATAGAGTCAAACCCGTTTATATCGAACTCGCAGAAAATTGTCTACCAGTTTGATATAGCGGGTAATTTGATATAAAAGTTTTAATGGATTTGACTCTCAAAAATCCACTTTCTGCTGACATGTTATGCAATGAAATAGTCTTGCATCTTCTGCTGCTTTTTCTTCAATGCATCCGTGATAACAATATTTTTCTACACTATCGACGGACTCCAAAATGCTGAGGCCGCTGCCTTCTATATTCGCGCATTAGCGTCGAACTATGCCGATAGCACGGAGCACGTCCGAGCAGGAGCACCTTCTCCTGCAGAGCGCCGTTTTGCTTCGCAAGTTGGCTTTCCAAAAAACGGACAGCTGCATTGGGGAAAAACCAGCCAGCAGAGCAAGCGGGTTTTTTTTTTTCTTTTTTCTGTTCCCGGCGGCTGCGTCAATTGCCCGGAAGAAAAAAATTATATTCTCTTTTTCAGATGGAACGGGGAGATGGAGCACGGGTCACCCTCTGCCCGCTCTTTCCGCAAAATAATTTTTTTTTTCTTCCAAGCGATCGACGCGGTCGCTCGGGGGAAAAAAAAAAAAGCCAGCGTACCCTGCAAGCTGGCTTTCTCCCAATTCGCCGATCGCATTGGGGGAAAGCCAGCTTGCAGAGCAAAACGGCACTCTTGGCAGTTTGATATATCGGTAGCGGCAGCTATTTCTGTTCGATGTACCCGTAGTTTTTGCTATATATTATCACTGTAACATTACTGTGCACAAATACTGTTCGATATCAGGCATAATTCAATGTAAACGGGTTCGATATACAGTCGAACCTGCTTATAACGAACCCGGTTAGAACGAATTATGGTCTATATCGAACACACAAAATTTTAAGATCAATATTCATGAGAAATATACTTTCTATAACGAACCACACATCGGATATATCGAACTGCGAGCGCCCGCTACCGCCCCCGCGGAAGCGCTCTGGCTTCCCTGCCATGCACGGAGCGACAGAGGACAAGAGAAAACCAAGAAAAACACGATGACCCTTGAGAAGATGAGTCACAACACCGACTGCGAACGCCCGCAACTGGCAACCGCGGAAGCGCGCTGGCCAATGATAGAGCAAGCGTGCAATGACGTTCTGATGACATCATCCTGCAGCCGTACCAGGCCGGACATGGCTCTCTTGTTCCTAGCGTTTTGCCGAGGAGGCTCGTTGTTCTTTGTGTCCTTCCTGTTCCCGCAAGAGATGGCGACCAAGGTGCATTCATCGTTACCGTTCTCTACCAAGGTGGAAATAATCCGGCGCGTTGAACGCGGCGAGAAGAAGTCAGAAGTCGCCGCATTCTTCAAGATCGCCAGAAGCACGCTGAGTACGATACTGAAAAACAAGCCAGCGATCCTGCAAAAGGCCCGAGATCGACCGAACGCCGACGGAAAGCACATTCGGGCGCCTGCCTTTGACAGAGTGGAAAAGGTGCTGTACGCATGGTTTTTGGATATTCGCGCTCGAAACCTTCCAGTTTCGGGCCCCATGTTACAGCAGAAAGCAAAAGACTTTGCCTTTTTGCTTGACGTTCAAGATTTTAGTGGCGAATCCGGATGGCTTCAACGGTTCAAGGAACGTTACGACATCGTCGGCAAAGTTGTCGCCGGCGAGAGTCGAGCAGTCGACAATAAAAGCGTCAAGAAGTGGATCGCCGAAAACTGGCCAGCAATTACGGAGCAGTACAGGCCCTGCGATATTTATAATACCGACGAAACCGCACTGTTTTGGCAGCTCCTACCCAGTCGGACTTTGGCACGACAAGGCGAGAAGTGCCATGGCGGCAAGCTGAACAAAGCTAGAATTACGGTGCTCCTCACCACGAATATGGACGGGAGCTCCAAGCTTACGCCACTGATCATCGGCAAGAGCAAGGCCCCTATGTGCCTACGGGGGTGTCAGTCTCTTCCAGTGAAATACACTTCATATGGAAAGGCCTGGATGACAAGGGTGTTGTTCGAGGACTGGCTGCGCGACTGGGATGAGAAGTTGTCCGAGAGTGGCCGCAAGATTTGCCTCTTGCTCGACAATTGCTCCGCGCATCACTGTGGTGCCACGCTAAAAAACATTCAGCTTCGTTTCCTGCCCCCTAACGCGACATCGATGCTGCAGCCGCTAGATCAAGGCATCATCCGTGCCTTCAAGCAAGGTTACAGGAAGCTTGTAGTGGAGCAGCTGCTCACCAAGCTGCGTGTGGAAAAAGAACTGAAGATTGATTTGTTGGGTGCTATTGAAATGCTTAGCCGTGCTTGGAGCGACATCGCGCCTAACACAATTAAGAATTGTTTTCGCCACGCGGGACTGTAGCTGGATAA